TCTGCCTTGTATCCTCATCATTTTGCAACCTCTCTTTATCCTACCAATTATAAATATAAGGTGCGTCATTTTCATCAGTCTCTTCGTGGCCAGACATGTTTGACTCGCCACTTCGAGTTTCCTTTGCCAACTGACTCCCCACAGCCAACTCCAGCTAATCCACCACCAGCGTTCCCAATTTCTATGCCTTTCACACAAACAACGAGCCCAGTTTCTGATCTGCGAACTTGTGTCGCATGCCCTCCAAATGCACATTCGTCTGAAGCGCCTGCCCTTGCTCTACCACCTACTCCCAGCACTTCTTGAATAATGTATTTGCTTGATTTATATGTCTTCCTTTTCATGCGCCTTGTTAAATAAGCTTTCGTCTAACTCTTCTTTCCGATATAGATTTATAGTCATAGCCAAAATCACTTTTCCATTCCCTATCATACCCTTGGAGTTTTGTGGAGATGAAATATTTGTATGAAAGGAAAATAATATTCTCTTACTCTGTATTATTAACAAAAACAGCGTAGTCACTTCATCCATCGCTACACCATAGTTTGTTCGCTTGAATTAAGCGCCTTGATCTTTCTTTGGTATTCACGAAATCTAACCCGTTCTTGCCGACGTATTATGGAACCGTATATTTTGTGGTCTCTGCCTGACATTCAAAGTATGCTCGATTGCTACCATCAATCGATATGTAAGCTTCTACTTGTTTCTTGCATTTCTTTTTTTCCGTAGTTTGCTTATATTCCTCCATTCTTTTTCTTAGCCAATTTTAATAATAATACATATGAGTGGGTCATTTTTATGATAAACTCTTAATGATATGCTGCTTAATTAGACACCGCTTTAGCTCAGTTTAAGCCTGTAGATGATTCAATTTCCAAGATTTGTCTTATAAATTTGGTTAAATCTTCCAGCAATACATGTAAAGCTGATGATTTCCTGTCTGTTCTGGTCTGTTTGTCTCTATTAACAAAGTAATTTGCCGATACTGTGAGTAATTCTTGAATTAGAACTTTATTCACCCGAGGCCTTTTACTATTTAAGGACTGTCGGTTAAATCTTTATTGTTTTATCCTCCCCAGTAATCTTTCTGGAATATGCTCTAACAGGGACGCCAAACTCTGTAACTGCACTCACTGCAGCTGTAAATTGGTAGATATTTCGGGAGTTTACGAGGGTAGACCACTACTTCTTGTCCTAGATTGTGGCACTCCCGAATATTTATGGCAACAACATTAAATTGAATGGCCATATTTGTTGATTAACTTTTCAAACTAGCTATCTTCTGTCGAGCTTTTTATGTAGAGGCAGACCCAACAATTACCAATAAAGTGGGTAGTCTGAATAGCTTGTTATTGCTTGAATTCTTATTTCTATAATAAGACTTATTTTTAATGGATCTCTTGGCTAGACTTCTGTCCAACGTTTATACTATTCCTCCTCATTCTGTCCTAACTATTCTAGCCACTGCTCTACTCCCGCTTAATCAAAACTTTTAACTTGTTTGTATTCCACTCTTCAAAAAGTGTGACTTTTTTTGCCAAACTGAGTGTGGCGTCATCGCAACTGCTATTTGCCTTGCCAATCCCTTCTCGATTTGTTGAACCGACTTGGACCTCCTATTCGAGTCTCCCACATTGGCCCGTAGATCCGTTTCTTATCTTTCTATTTGACTGATTTTAATCGGCTCCAGTCCAAGTATACGTTTCACTTAAGACGCTATTTCTCAAGCCTTCATTAGGATGTACACTGTCGCCTCATCGAGCAGAGCGCCTAGGTTCTGATTCCAATTCTTGCAGATATCAAGCATTATCTCTACGGATCATTTTCTTGAATAAACCCGTATACTCTGAGCAAACTGTAGACGTCCATCTCTGGTCGTCTGTTGCCTCTCGATGGATTTCTAGACAATTTGGCTATAACGCCAAATTTCGGTGACGGCTCTGATTATCCTTCTCCATAGTTCTGTGATCGCCAGGCCCACAAAGTTGTAGTTTTTTCTTTGAATAGACTACTCTTACTGAAGTCACATTGAGTTTCGAAAGTTCCTTATCCGCTTTTTCTTTGTGATTACTTTTCCTCTGATTAACTATGGGTTCTTGATCTGAGCATCTCCTTTTTGCTGGTCTTGCTGTATCCTTGTTTTCTCCGAGTGTGCTTAAGCAATAGACAAGGTTGTTACAAACTCTCCCTTCTTCCAATCTCCTTTTCTTTAATCCCTCCCCCAAGGATGTCATTAGCCTCCCCAATTTTCCGTTTTATTGTATTTTCACCGTATGGGGCTCTTCTTTATATCACCTTACAACTGATCGCTTATCCAGTCTGTGCTATGTTTTCCGCTATTTCTGATATTTCTATATCCATTTTCCCGCAGAGCCTTTGATGTTCCCTGTTTCGTATGTTGATTTTTCTCCCTTTTTTGATTATTTATATATGTTTGTAGACCCCGCATGCTATACTTATCTATCAACATGTCACGTAATGTTACATTGATCTTCATAGTTGAGTCCTTTATTACGGGATAAGTGGTGCTGTCTCGTAGTATACACTATATCTTCTCAGTGTACTATGTATCTATTCTCTATGTACTATTCTCGGTGTATCTGTCAACTTTCACTCGCTCCTTCTTTATCTGCCTGAGATAATTATTGTTCATTCATTCGCAAATCCGTTCCTGTTTTGGTTTGACCTCGTATTTGCAACTTGGTCCGAGCGTCAGGGAGGCCTTGTGGAATGTATCTAGCCATGGGTCCTCTGACATAGTTTTCGTGATTTCCAGCATCGAGCCATTGACTTGGTACATACTATGACAGAGGACGAAGGACTAGGTACCTTCCGCAAAACGACCAAGTTGCGAAAACGAGGTCGAACTAACACTAAAGTTAAATGAAACTGAGACCAAACAGAAGGCCATGCCATCTTGGTCTTCGTATCTACTATCTGTTCTTAGTTGTTGGCTCCTGTTGTGTCGATATTATTGGAATTGTTTCCTTACTCATTTCTCATTTAGTTTCCAAGAGACTTGTCAGAGATATTGATGACCCCCATCAGAATGTCTTCTGTACCGTTTCTTTCATTTCCAAAAGAATATTTCGGCTCCTTCAGGATCATGTTGGTTGTGGGATCAAGAGGAATAGAAGATAAATTCATCTTTATCCTGATCTTCGTACTGATCAGTGCAATCAGTGCCACCTCGGAAGCCACACCAACTGGGCGTAGTGGCTTAGCTTATACTGGCTTATAATCCAATAGCTGAGCAACCATTTGTTGTCTGTTCTTAAGTTAGTGATCCCACGCGATTTCTTGTCGGGCATACTTTGGGGTTTTTGAAAGTCTTCTGTAGTCAGGATCTGGATGGTCATAGGACTAATCACAGCCGTCACCGAAATTTGGCGTTATAGCCAAATTGACTAAAAATCAATCGAGAGGCAACAGGCGACAAGAGATGGACGTCCACAGCTTGCTCAGGACTTACGGGTTTAATCAAGAAGATGACTCGCAGAGATAATACTTGATATCTGCAAGCATGGAAATCAGAACCTAGGGCTCTGCTCGATGAAGCCTCCTAATGAAGGCTTGAGAAATAGCGTCTTAAGTGAAACGTATTCCTGGACTGGAGCCGAGTGAAATCAGTCAAATAGAAAGATAAGAAACGAATTTACGCTCCAATGAGGGAAACTCGAATAGGTAACCCAAGTCGGTTTAACAAATCGAGAGGGGGTGGGCAAGGCAAACAGCAGGTGTGATGACGCTACAGTAAGCTTGGCAAAAAGGTCACACCTGAGGAGTGGAGTGCAAACAAGTCAGAAGTTTTGATTAGGTGGGGGTGACATAAATGAATAGAGTAGGGAGTAGGTGGAAGGGCCAGGACGGATGCGTAATATTTTAAAGGCATTCAAAATCTACCGATTTAGGATATTCGCCG